GTAGACTTATTATTTCTACTCACTTTGGATCTTGCTGAATAACATGTGCTGCTTTTTTCAACTTTCTATTTTTACTGAAATTTTAGAAGAACATCATTCATTTGAAATACAAGTGTTTCGTAAAATTATTAACTATACTGTAGGGCTGTCAAAATTGCTGAAAAATTATGAATATGAATTATATTCGAATTTAAAATGCAAAATTTCAGTTAGGGTGAAGAAAAGCTTTTGGCTTCTCTCCTGAGGCCACAAGAGAATACATCATTCAAAGTATAAGATAACATGACTATAACATGTCTATCTGCGAAACAAAAAGCATAATGTTTAGAAAAATGTTTATAAACCAATTATAATTAAGTTGCTTAAACAACTATAAACAAAACAGCATCGTGTATGTATGCATAGTTTAATACAAAGAGTGGAAAGACAATCACACAGAGTACATTTATCATTTAAAAACATAAGATGCCGTGGGATGGGGGAAAACCCTCCATAAAGTCTCGATATATGTTTTTTTCAAAGTTGAACTTTCATAAAAAAAACCAGTCTCACATCTGCCCCTCAGCACTCTGTTCCTGTCGTCACAGCTGAGATGTGAAATGCAGCTGTGTGCCGTTGTCTTTATGCACCAAAAATGCTTTCCATAATGCAAGTCATATGGTTGCAGAGTGAACTCGCTTTAATTGGGATTCTAGTGTCACATAGCCTTTGCTTCAAGTGCAAGCTGGAGCTGTTGTTTTTCATGCTTTTTTGTTTTGTTTATCAGCATTCTAACTCTTGTTTCATCATAGCGTATAAGCATGGCTTACATTGCCGATGGTGTCAACTCAAATGCGAATGCCTTGTTTTCTTCTGTTCAGAAGAATCTGACCAGACACTACTGTAAAATAACTCTCACTCCAGAAATGTTTGCAAATTCAACACGGGCTTTTTGGGTGTGTTTTCTCAGACAGTGGACAGAGCAACCATGGCACCAGTGCTAAGGGTGAGAGGCTTAGCGTTAAACTGAAAACTCTTCCAGGGTCCAATGAGCCCTATGAGGCCAGCACTCAGCAGGAAATAGGTGAGAAATAATACCACTCATCATTTTCAAGGAGATTCTTGTCATTATGACTGATAAACTATCTAATAAAGATAAAATCGTGGTAGAATAATTCATTTTTTCAGTAAACAAACAGTAGTGAATGAAGCTTGCAATACCAAGGTTTAATTCTCATGGAATGTGTGACCTGATGAAATGTACACTTGGAGTGCAGTTGCTTGGATAAAAGCATCTGCCAAATGCATACATGTTAAATGTATGATGATAAATTATTATTACATTTCCCTGTTACGTGGCTGGCTTATTTCATAGCTTTAATAATTTAATCTCTTTCGTGTGAAGGAAAGAAAGCTTCTAGCCTGGTCTGTGCTTATTCAAATGTATTGCTTCCATTGTATTCATCATTTTAGATGCTTCATATGTCGATCCTTTGGGGCCTCAAATGCAGAGACCAAAAACTGCAGCAAGGAAACGCACTGAGGAAGATGAGTTTGCCGATGAAGAGCTGGGAGATGACTTACTGCCTGAGTGATGTGTGCAACAGTTATCAATTCAGTAGAAAATCTGATATATGTCAAGGCACTAGATTTTTCTGTGTTTTATAGCACTGTATTTTTAGTAGTACTAAAAATACCAGTTCTTCATGCCCAGGGATTTTATATCTCATTTCAGTCTGCTTTACTATATTTTGTAATAGTAGTGCATTGTGTGTGTATATGTATAATTACATTTAGAAAAAAATACAGCTTATTCAAAATTATTTAATTCATTTTGTGCATTGAAATGTAAAGATATCAACTTTTGTATGCCCTGCAAACAGTGAAGCTAAAGACATTGTAAGTGTGAAATATTAAAGCACGGTATAAGACTTTTCTTTGGAATCTTATGATTCAATCTCTTAAATATCTAAAAGGAATACAGAACATTCCAGGAGAAAAAAAACCCATCAATGTGAGATTTTTCACATCAGCTCAAGCAGATCATGATCATTATTCAGTATCAAACAGTCCGCCCAATAACTGGAGTCAAGTATCCTGAGCGCATTTACGGGACGGGCGGATGAGACAGCTTTACGCAACAACTGGGCAGTTTCTGCAGGTCGATTTAAGAGCTCTCCAAGGTTTACTTTAATATATATTTCCCAGCAATCTCTTCCAGACAGTAAAGCGCGTTTAGACGGTGTAAACTGAAATGCGTGGTCGAGCTGTTTCGACGCTTGTGTTGGTGTTGCTGTGGTGCTGCAGGAGCGCGCCGGGTGAACGGGGACTGAAGGTGTCCAGGAGAGCACCGAGGACTCGCTCATGTCTGGACTTACCAGAGGAGATTTTGGAGCAGATGTTTGGGAGACTGTCGGTTGGGGTGCTCGGCGCGTTTCATCACACCCTGCAGCTCGCCCCTCCAGAGCGCCAGAATCTGACCTGTCAATCAGCGTCTCGCCTGGCGCGCGGCAGACCACGAACCCCAGTCAACTTCCTCAGCCTCTCGCCGTGGGCGTACAGGTAGGACCCCAAAACCCTGAAGACTAGGACGGGAATACAAGGGAGTTTAACGATTTTAGTGCTTATGTGGAAGAAATATTTAGAAGTGGGTTTTTTTCCGGACATAGTGACGGCATAAATGCAAAAATACAAACAAAAATGTTAACTTCATTCGTTTTTATAAACTCAGTTTGTATCCTTTATTCGTTAAAAAAATAAAAAGTAAATTAAAAAACACTACAAAATAGGCTACTCATATCAATAACGTCGTGAAAAAACTAGACAAAAATATAAGGATACCACAATTTTTGGATTATTTCGAGATGGCGAAAGTAATAACATGCGATTCAGCCAACCAGATTGATTCAAGAACCGTAGCGTCTGATTCACACGTATTTTGACGCAACTGACTCAAACGAATCATTCAATCGGGAATCGGTTTGGTTTCGGTCATGAAAAAGATTCAGTTCTGAAGAACCGGTTCGATTGTGTGTTAATTTAAGATTTGATGTCTTGTAAGATGTCTCGCCTTTTTGTCTGCAATAAAATATGTATTTTTTCATTGTTATTGATCCAAGAATCTCTCATGATCCAGCGAGGTACCCGCGATATCTCCCTGAGGCGTACTGCTTGTGTAAAGGATGCCTGAGCGGACCGAACGGGGAGGAAAGTGACCGCTTCCGCAGCACTCCAGTGTACATGCCGACCGTCATACTGCGCCGGACCGGCTCGTGCGTCGGGGGCCGTCATTCCTACACAGAGAGCTACGTGTCCATCGCCGTGGGTTGTACTTGTGTGCCATTGCTGGAAAGAGACAGAAAAACACAGAAGAGCAAGCCAAGTGTGAAAAGAGTGTCATCTAAAAATTCTAGAAAGAACTGATCTGGTTCGTCTTTAGATTTTTTTCTGTCAGTTTTCTTCTTTCACTTCATTTTTGGTGAGCAAAAAAGTTGAGACAGAACTTGCTCTCACAGCTGCAGATTCTAGTCTGCAGTGCCAAGCAAAAGGAAAACTTGCTGTGCCAAAATACAAACATTTTCTAATCCAAAGTACTTGGGAAAAGCCCGTCAGCATCATGGTTTTACATAACCTAATATAGTTTAACTGTTTTCAAGTATACAGAAGATCACTAGAAATGCTTCTGTTAAAGGCAAGCATGCATGGATATCATTTACAAGAGGACATATTATTTAGCTTGACTTTGTCAGTTCTCTTTATTCAAACCACCAACAACACCACTGATAATGCAAAAGTCTAGTGTATTGTATATTATATATAAACGCATTTCAAACATTCACTTCTAGCCCATTTTATGCATTGAAACAAAGTTAAGCTGTCTGAAATTGTTTGCTTCAATTTTATGCCTGAAAGCTGGGTGTGCAATTGACAATGCAAGTCAGCCAAAGCATAATCAAAGACTGATCACAGATCTCTGATGAAGTGCCAAATCCTCCGCTCTAATATCTGGATCTTGCTATGAACCACTTGGAGTGAGAGTATTTATTGTTCCACATGATCATCTGATGTTTCATGGGGGAAAAAACAATGTTCAAATGTTGGCAGATTGGAAGCTTTTTTTCATGAGACAAGGCTTGATTCATAGTTAACATAGCAGCGGAACTCATTGGCCAGATTGTGATTGTGTTTTGGTAAAAAACTGCATATCTTCAGATCCATAAGTTTCCCAGCAGGCTCCTCCATAATAGCTCCTATAAGAATAAGGCAAAGGTGAACATGAACAAGACATAAAAAAAACTTAAGAATCTGCAACTTAAGAAAATGCATATATATTAATTTCCACTTGCCTGTGCAGAGCAGGATTTTTCCCTTAGTGAGGTATTTAATGGTGAGCGCCACCTTGCCGAGACACTCTTCAGACAGGTATGGAGGATCTGCGATGACGATGTCAAAGCTCTGAGGAAGCAGACCCTCAGGCAGGCACAGAGGGTTGTTGTAATCATAAAACACAAACTCATCTCCATATGCTGCGAAACGTCGGTCAAACTCCAGCAAAACAGCAGACACACTGTCCGACCTCGTGGATTCCAACAGTTTCAGCTTCTGATACACACTTGGTGCACTTATACAAGCTATCCTACAAGCCAGGGGGAAAAAATACATTTGGGTGAGGGGGGACACATAATGGAGCAGTAATATACAGTAGTCAACATCTGAAGTGGATCAAAAATTTTTTATCAAAGTTGTCCTAAGACAAGAACGGGCATTGTTTTGGTTTTAGGACAACTTATTAACTTTTTTTGATCCACTTCAAATGTTGACTACTGTATATTGGGGTCAGTAAGATTTATTTATTTCTTCAAAAAGAGTGAAAACCTATTTAGCAAGATCACAAGTGAGATAAAATTTTTGTAACACTGTAAAAGTCTTTACTATTTCAAATAAATACTGTTCTTTTGAATTTTATGTTCATTAAAGAATGTATCACGGTTTGCACAAAAATATTAAGCAGCACAACTGTTTTCAACATTGATAAGACATGTTTCTTGAGCACAAACTCCAGCAAAACAGCAGACACACTGTCCGACCTCGTGGATTCCAACAGTTTCAGCTTCTGATACACACTTGGTGCACTTATACAAGCTATCCTACAAGCCAGAAAAAAAAAAAATACATTTGGGTGAGGGGGGACACATAATGGAGCAGTAATATACAGTAGTCAACATCTGAAGTGGATCAAAAAAATTTTATCAAAGTTGTCCTAAGACAAGAACGGGCATTGTTTTGGTTTTAGGACAACTTATTAACTTTTTTTGATCCACTTCAAATGTTGACTACTGTATATTGGGGTCAGTAAGATTTATTTATTTCTTCAAAAAGAGTGAAAACCTATTTAGCAAGATCACAAGTGAGATAAAATTATTGTAACACTGTAAAAGTCTTTACTATTTCAAATAAATACTGTTCTTTTGAATTTTATGTTCATTAAAGAATGTATCACGGTTTGCACAAAAATATTACGCAGCACAACTGTTTTCTGTATCCTTTATTCGTTAAAAAAATAAAAAGTAAATTAAAAAACACTACAAAATAGGCTACTCATATCAATAACGTCGTGAAAAAACTAGACAAAAATATAAGGATACCACAATTTTTGGATTATTTCGAGATGGCGAAAGTAATAACATGCGATTCAGCCAACCAGATTGATTCAAGAACCGTAGCGTCTGATTCACACGTATTTTGACGCAACTGACTCAAACGAATCATTCAATCGGGAATCGGTTTGGTTTCGGTCATGAAAAAGATTCAGTTCTGAAGAACCGGTTCGATTGTGTGTTAATTTAAGATTTGATGTCTTGTAAGATGTCTCGCCTTTTTGTCTGCAATAAAATATGTATTTTTTCATTGTTATTGATCCAAGAATCTCTCATGATCCAGCGAGGTACCCGCGATATCTCCCTGAGGCGTACTGCTTGTGTAAAGGATGCCTGAGCGGACCGAACGGGGAGGAAAGTGACCGCTTCCGCAGCACTCCAGTGTACATGCCGACCGTCATACTGCGCCGGACCGGCTCGTGCGTCGGGGGCCGTCATTCCTACACAGAGAGCTACGTGTCCATCGCCGTGGGTTGTACTTGTGTGCCATTGCTGGAAAGAGACAGAAAAACACAGAAGAGCAAGCCAAGTGTGAAAAGAGTGTCATCTAAAAATTCTAGAAAGAACTGATCTGGTTCGTCTTTAGATTTTTTTCTGTCAGTTTTCTTCTTTCACTTCATTTTTGGTGAGCAAAAAAGTTGAGACAGAACTTGCTCTCACAGCTGCAGATTCTAGTCTGCAGTGCCAAGCAAAAGGAAAACTTGCTGTGCCAAAATACAAACATTTTCTAATCCAAAGTACTTGGGAAAAGCCCGTCAGCATCATGGTTTTACATAACCTAATATAGTTTAACTGTTTTCAAGTATACAGAAGATCACTAGAAATGCTTCTGTTAAAGGCAAGCATGCATGGATATCATTTACAAGAGGACATATTATTTAGCTTGACTTTGTCAGTTCTCTTTATTCAAACCACCAACAACACCACTGATAATGCAAAAGTCTAGTGTATTGTATATTATATATAAACGCATTTCAAACATTCACTTCTAGCCCATTTTATGCATTGAAACAAAGTTAAGCTGTCTGAAATTGTTTGCTTCAATTTTATGCCTGAAAGCTGGGTGTGCAATTGACAATGCAAGTCAGCCAAAGCATAATCAAAGACTGATCACAGATCTCTGATGAAGTGCCAAATCCTCCGCTCTAATATCTGGATCTTGCTATGAACCACTTGGAGTGAGAGTATTTATTGTTCCACATATCTGATGTTTCATGGGGGAAAAAACAATGTTCAAATGTTGGCAGATTGGAAGCTTTTTTTCATGAGACAAGGCTTGATTCATAGTTAACATAGCAGCGGAACTCATTGGCCAGATTGTGATTGTGTTTTGGTAAAAAACTGCATATCTTCAGATCCATAAGTTTCCCAGCAGGCTCCTCCATAATAGCTCCTATAAGAATAAGGCAAAGGTGAACATGAACAAGACATAAAAAAAACTTAAGAATCTGCAACTTAAGAAAATGCATATATATTAATTTCCACTTGCCTGTGCAGAGCAGGATTTTTCCCTTAGTGAGGTATTTAATGGTGAGCGCCACCTTGCCGAGACACTCTTCAGACAGGTATGGAGGATCTGCGATGACGATGTCAAAGCTCTGAGGAAGCAGACCCTCAGGCAGGCACAGAGGGTTGTTGTAATCATAAAACACAAACTCATCTCCATATGCTGCGAAACGTCGGTCAAACTCCAGCAAAACAGCAGACACACTGTCCGACCTCGTGGATTCCAACAGTTTCAGCTTCTGATACACACTTGGTGCACTTATACAAGCTATCCTACAAGCCAGGGGGAAAAAATACATTTGGGTGAGGGGGGACACATAATGGAGCAGTAATATACAGTAGTCAACATCTGAAGTGGATCAAAAATTTTTTATCAAAGTTGTCCTAAGACAAGAACGGGCATTGTTTTGGTTTTAGGACAACTTATTAACTTTTTTTGATCCACTTCAAATGTTGACTACTGTATATTGGGGTCAGTAAGATTTATTTATTTCTTCAAAAAGAGTGAAAACCTATTTAGCAAGATCACAAGTGAGATAAAATTTTTGTAACACTGTAAAAGTCTTTACTATTTCAAATAAATACTGTTCTTTTGAATTTTATGTTCATTAAAGAATGTATCACGGTTTGCACAAAAATATTAAGCAGCACAACTGTTTTCAACATTGATAAGACATGTTTCTTGAGCACCAAATCAGTATTTTAGAATGATTTCTGAAGGATCATGTGACACTAAAGACTGAAGTAATGATGCCGATATTCAGCTTTGTCATCACAGAATAAATTACATTCTAAAATATATTCAAATAGAAAACATCTATTTTAAATAGTAAAAAAAAAAATCACAATATTACGTTTTTTTTTTTAAAAAGGTGTCATGATCTGAGAAATCAAATTTCCCTTGATCTTTTGACACATAACAGGTCATTATACTTTAAAAACATCCTGCAAGTTTCAGAACTCAAAACGTTCTCTTTAGTCTAAAAATAGCTTATATTGAAGCAAATCTGATAAAAAAAAGGAAAAACTACAGGTTGTTTTGAATTTAAAATAAAACACTTGTGACGTGTAGATTAATAGGGGGAAGTCAACCTGTCAAATACCAAGAGTATTTTCCCACTTATTGAGACATAAGAACAATTACATGTAAAAGTTAATCTTTGAGTTTTTCAATGACTATGATCAACCATGTTTTTAATGTACTGGTTGAGAGTGAATGTTTTCGCTCACCGCACAATTAAAAAAAACACTCAGTTGTCGCCTCCTACTGGTGTATTGAGGTAACCTCCGGTAAGGCCCATCACTACTGACCTTCTGTTCTACACATGCCGAAACGATTGAGACCAACCTGCCATGTTCTCCAGCCTGCTGCACGACTTCCTCTGCTAACCGTGTGGCCGTGTCTTCACTGTACCAGAACTGACTCATGCGCTGTTTACAGAAACGCGAGCTGGTTAGGTACGCACTTGATATATACTTGTGTTTAACAAATATATACAAGATAATGTATAACAAGCAACAGATCATCACTCAAGGCACTTCTAGTACATTCACTGTACCCAGTCTTCCTCTACAGCACCAACACAGAACTTGTCGGTCTTGGTGGAGTTTTCTTCCAGTCCCGTCCTTCCACTCTCGGCATAAAACTCTTGCAGCGCTGCGAGGGTCGCCGCGGAGAGCCGAGGCACATCATCGTCGCTGTCGCTCATGATCACAGATCCTTCATCACTAAATCACACGGGAACACGTCAACTACGGGAGGCATGCTGAAAAAAACAGCATAACACTCATTCTGTAATGATGCTAACGGTCGCAAACGATATTATATATAGACCTAACTTAGGTTTAATCCAGTCTTTACACTTACCAACGCACGACGCCGTTACAGTGTGTATTTAAGCAGTATTTTACAAGCTTACAACAGAGGAACAGGACATAGCGAACAGCTTCACACGTGTTTGCACTACGGTGGCCGAGGGAGTACAATCACACTAAAGCCCAACTGCAATTGAAACGCGAAAAATATTTAAAGGGGTCATATGATGCGATTTCATTTTTTCCTTTCTCTTTGGAGTGTTACAAGCTCTTGGTGCATAAAGAAGATCTGTAAAGTTGCAAAGACTAAAATCTCAAATCCAAAGAGATATTCTTTATAAAAGTTAAGAGTCAACCACGCCTACCTAAAACGGCTCGTTCTAACACGCCCCCACATACCTACGTCACGATGTGGGAAGATTTGCATAACGCCGCCCAAATGTTCACGCAAAGAAAGAAGGCGTAACTTTTATTCTCGCAGTAGTTTTCTTGACGCTGTGTGCTTGGTTGTGAAAGTGAAACTACTTTGTTTGGTCTTCCAAAAGAGGACGATATCCGCTTCGTCATGCCTGGAGCTGATCCGTGCTGGT